CTCACATCTGTGATCTCAGTAACTGGGGAGCCTGAAGCATGAGGACTGCCTGAGTTCAAAGTCAGTCTTGGCAACATAATGAGTTCTGGGTCATTATGGACTACAGAGTAAGACTATGCTATAAATAGATAGACTGACTGACAAGGGAGGGTGGGAGGGAGGAAGGAAGGAAGGAACTTACAAATAAGCTAGACATGGTGGTATAGCATTTAGGACATGTACATAAGGGAACGAAGGAACTTGAGGTCATCCTCATCTACACAGCAAGGTCAAAGGTAGTCTCAGACCTTGTATCAAAAGTAATTATTTTAAAAATGTTCAATAAAATAAAGTTTTCACTCCTCAATGCTAAGTTGGCGAACATCGAGCAGTAGTGGTTTCTATATAGCATTTCGATCTTTACACAACAGGTGATCTGAGGCCTCACACAACAAAGTCACCACAAGCAGACAAATGCCAATGCAAAGGTAAAGCAAACTCCCAAAACTGACTACAAAAAAACTTACCTGACAAGAAAGAGAAGAAAGCAAGAGATGACCATTGAGGCTCTTCAAAATGACAGCAGCTACCTAAACAAGGTCCTGTATATTTTGAAGAATTTCTATTCCAGTCATTGACAATCCTATCAATGGTGCGTCCTAACTGAATATGACACTCTGTAGGAAAACACAAATTGCCATAAAATTCTTCCCACCACTGCATTAAATAAAATAAGGGGTGTAGTGATATTTTGTTTGTGTTCTATCAATAAAGCTTGCCTAAAGATCAGAGTGCAGAGCTAAGCTACTAGTTAGCCATAGAGGCCAGGCAGTGGTGGCACACACCTGTAATCCCAGCACTCAGGAAGCAGAGGCAGATGGATCTCTGTGGGTTCAAGGCCACCCTGGGCTACAGTAGACTGATCCAAACTCAAAGAGAAACAGAGCCAGGCTGTGGTGTCTCACACCTTTAATCCCAGTACCAGGGAGGTGGAGATGAGAAATGACAAGGCTGGTGGAGAGAGAATTATAATGCAGGAGAAGACAAGAGCCCAAGGACAGTCTGGAGATGCAGTCTGAAGATTCATAGAGATTGGATCATTTCTTTGGTCCTGAGCATTGGTAGAGAACTCTCTAGTGGCTGAATGATCGGCTTCTCTAACCTTCAGTATTAGCCCCTATATCTGACCCTGGGTTTTTATTAATAATACCAATTAGAATTAATAAAGGAGGAAACTATTTTTTTTTGAGACAAAGTCTCACTCTGTACCAAGTTAGACTCTAATTCACAGCAATCCTCAGTTTCCTGAGTGCTGGGAAAACTGGCACGACCCACCCTGAAATTACTTTTGAAGTGTTTGTTGTAGATTTTTGTCTAGTTAAGAGGAAAAGAAGTAAAAGGGAAAGACAGAAACAAAGAGGATGAAGAGGTAGGACAGAACACTGCCATAACATAAACACGTCAACTCTATACAAAGAGAGACTGGCAACCTGGAATCCCAATCTCTAGTCCTACTTACCACTAACTAGCTGAGCTGCCTGCTTTAATTAGTGAGTTTCTTCATCTAGATAATGAAGTAGGAGCAAGGTACTCCAAAGAATAAGAATTCATTTAAGGGCCAGGGGATAGTGGTGGCAATGCATGTCTTTAAATCCCAGCACTCAGGCTGCAGAGGCAGGGGGATCTCTGTGAGTTCGAGGCCAGCCTGGTCTACAAAGTGAGTTTTGGGACAGCCAGAGCTGTTACACAGAGAAACCCTGTCCTGAAAAACAAAAACAAGGAAAAGAATCCATGCAAGGGCGAGCTGATTCCAAACCTAACACTCAGCGAGAACGTCGGCTGACAAGTGTACAGTACAATAATAACAATTACTCTTGAGTTGCCAGGACGATGGATATTTGCTGACTATTTTACTCAAGAATTGAGAATTTATTCATAATTACACTCTTCAGAAAACAGTAGAGAAGAGGAGACATAAAAGAGAACAACTTAGCCCAACTCGAATGGGGTTATTCACACCACTGCTAGACACTGCGACACTCATCTCTGAGTCCTTTAAAATGTCCAAAATGCAGCTAAGACTTTTGCTAAATTCAAGGAAAAAATGTTCCTCTCATTCTGTTCTATTCAAAGAATGTCACGTAAAGAAAGCCATGATGTCTAGAACCTTAACGTGTATCCTGGCAAGCATACACTCACATGTAGCTTCACTCACTCAACCAATCAACATAAAAACTTCAAAAATTATTTAAAAAATAACTTTCAAGTGCCTATTTTTTTGTTTTGTTTTTTAAAAATTTAAACCTTGTTCTTTGGGACAGGAAGGAGGCTCGGCCAGGAAAGCACTTCCCATGGAGTGTGAGGACAGGAGTTGAGATCCCCAGAATACACAGAAGCCTGATAGGTGTGGTGGCCTGCAGTAACGTCAACAACTGGGAAGCTGAGATAGGGAGTCGTAGTTGAAGCTAGCTAGTCAGACTAGCCATGTGAGTGAACTTTGGATTCAACTAAGAGACCCCACCTCAACACATTAAGGGGAAGAGTGATTGAGGAAGCCCTATTATTTATTGCTTACAAACTGCAGTACAGTTCTATGTATCTGTATGTATCCCCTACTAGCCAGGCCAGAGACAATAGTCTAAATCACAGCTATTCTCAATGCTTTGCACCAAGCAAGCACTCAGGTTATACTGGCTGGATTGGTGATCGCCAAAGCCCATTCAGCTCTAAAGTCACCTGCCCTGAACTCAAAACTTGATCATGATAGATGTAATTCAGTACAATGCTACAAGGTATCAAAAGCACATATATTTAAGTCATCCTGTGGCCTTGTATAATACTGTCACTACAAGATTTTAAATATAATTTTATAAGTAGTTCATACCTGCAATCCCAGCACTTAAGAGGCAGAGGAGGGGAATATCAAAAGTTTGAGACCTGCCTGAGTCACATAGGAAGTTCCAGGCTAACCTGGGCTAGACTGATTCCATCTCCAAAAATATACCAACTGGATTTTTAAAAGGAACAACAACAATATAACTAAATATATTTTTGAAGATACAGGCAAAATTATAGATCTCATTACTATATATTTAGTACTGCCATGGAACATAAAATTAGGATTTTCCATTCTTAGTTTAAGAAACTTTATATTTGTAAATTTATACAAGCAGGAAAAATAGGAGATACTAAAATAGAAAGATGTAAGAATTGCCAAGTGCCATATAAAATGTACTTCCCTGTGTACAAACAGGCAGACTAACTGTAACTTTCTAATTCAGAAAGGAGGCTGGAACTGGGACTGAGGCTCAGCGGGTAAAGAGTTTGCCTTGTGTGCAGGAGGCACTGGACTTGATTCCCAGCACCATATAAACCAGACTTAGTGACACAAGCCTCTAATCCTAAAGAGAAGTTCAAGGTCAGTCTGGCAAGGCAAGCCTGGGCTACAATGAAGCTGTATTTTTTTTAAAGGGGTTCTTTCACTTTGGGTTATAGTTAAAGTCTCTACAAAATGAATGAAACAGGAAAAACTGATAAAGATAAGATTTTACAAGTTGGAGGTATTTTATTTGCCTAGAGATAAAAACCACCACCAACAAAAGACCACAAGTCAAAAACTACCTCACAGGACATGTGCTTTTCAGGAATGCACACTAAGTTTTCCACCATGACTTCCCTAGCCCCGTGAAACCAGCAAAGCCTCCCTCTGGAACCTGCAAAGTCCAGCATAATAATTTAAATTCAAGAATCTCAAATTACAGATAAAACCCCATTAAAAATTAGTTGCCCCAGCAATGGAGGGGGGCTGGAGGCAGGGTGAGGGAACGGGAGGTTATTTAAGGCCAATCTCACACGAGCAGGACCTTCTTATGAAGGTAAGGGAGACCGACATCTTTCCAGATAATTACAGTGTTCTAGCAACCCATGCCCACAAAATACATGCTTCCAAGCACAAAAACTCACATGAAGGTGAGTCAACAACCCCCACACACACTCCACAAGAAGTTGCTGAGGATGTAACTTCGTAGGTGGGCCACCTGCCTAGCATATCCAAGGCCCTGGGTTCAATGAATAACGGGGATGGCGTTGATGAAAAGTGATGAAGCAGAAAGGAGATTTCCTAGAGTGCAATAGTAATTTGGGCTAAAAGGCTGGGATCTAATTCTAAGCACTATACTGCCTGCCTGTTCAGTTTTGTTTAAAGGCGGGATCTTACTATGTAACCCCGGCTGATATAGTAGCTATGTGGCCAGGCTGGCCTCGAACTCGTGGTTATCCTCCTGCCTCATCCTTCTTTAGTACTGGTATTACAAGCGTGTACTTCCAACTCAGAATGTGTTTTAGTAAAGGCAAGTGAAACAAATACTATGAAAAACAAATCATTTCTAATTTCAAGAGTTCCCAAAGTAGGCCAGTAAAATAGCTCAATGAGTAAAGGCACTTTCCACCAAGGTCGACAACTTGAGCTGAATCCCTGTATCCACAAAGGGAGGGGGGGGGGACCCGACTCCCAAAGGTTGTTCTCTGACCTCTATGTTAGGTAGGATACATTCAAACATAGATGCACACACGCGCACATGTGCGCGCACACACACAGACACCTACATAAAATAACTGTAAAATTTAAAAAAAAAAAAACTAAGAATTTCCAAACTAATGGAACAGCCTTAGATTCCACGCAAATGAAATCGCAGACGTCTTCTACACCACACCTGTAGGAATACACCGCGTCCAAATCCCTGGTAAGCAATTTTACAAAATAGTAAGAGTGGTGGTTATCTGCTGTTCCAGATGAGGCGACTGAATATATGGCATTAGGTCAGACTTGGAAGCACAAGGCTCCCAGGGGACGGAGTAACACCAAGATTGGCTCCCGGCCTGGAGTTCACAAAGCCATCCGGTTCTCCTTCCCTAGCGACAGATCAAAGCTGAGTCCCAACGCGCCGGAGCGCTGGAAGGCAGCCGCCCTCTGCGCTCGCTCCGGGCCCCGCCCAAGACCCCCCGCGCGGCCGGTGCGATACCTGGCGAAGAAATCCGCGAAGCCACCGCTCCGTCGAGCTCGAGCCGTGGTGCCCCCGGGACTCTGCTCCGCCGTTGGCAGGGATGTGGGTGTCCCCGCCGAGGGAAGGAGGTCGCCGGCGCTCTGGCGGCGGCTCACCTCGAACGTGTTCCGAGAGCTGAAGCGGGCGTCGGGGAGGCCGGGGCTGGGCTCCGCGCTCCCACCCGATCTCGCGGCAGAGGTGGCAGCTGTGGGTTCCGGGTCGTCGGTGTCCCCCGACACCAGGCAGCAGCTCCGTAGCGGGTCCTCCAGCGGCGCGGCCCAGTCGTCCGGGCCGCCCGCGCCGTCCACACCCTCGTCCGCGGGATCTAGCAGGCAAGGGTGGCCGCAGGATCGGCGGCGACGCGCCTCCTCCGGGCCGCGACGGTCCTGGCGCAGCAAAAATCCCGAGTCCCCGTTGGTCATGCTTGAACGGCACGCCGCGGGGACAGCCGCCGCCTCCGCCCCGCCGAGCCCGGGCTGCAACGGGCCCGCGGCCGCCGCGAGATACCGCTGCAGGAGCTGCCGCGGCCGCGGCGCTTCCTCCTCTCCAGCCTCCCCTGGCGACTCCGCGGCGACGGCGCCTCCGCCAAAGCCGCCGGCGGTGTGGACGGTCTTCCCGTCCTGACCCATGGGCCCCGGGACTGGGAGCAGCTCGGCGTTTCTTCCCGAGCAGGCTCCGGCATCCTCGGGACCCATCATCTGAGGCGGCGGCGGGGGACTGCCCTGCGCGCAGGGGCCGCGGCCACGGCCGCCGCAACGTTCCCAGACCCACCCCTCCCACCCGCCAGCCAGGGCAGTTGCCGGAGGCCGGGCACGCGCTAGGATCGCGCACGCGCACCAGCGGGCCCGGGCCGGCCGCGACCCGGCGCGTCCCCGAACCATAGAGACGGCAGCTAGAGCGACCCGGGAGGACAATCTGGGATCCGCCAGCTGCGCCTGGATGGGAGAGGATGGTTGGAGCGCTCGCGGGTGACAATGCTTAGCAGAAGCGCAGATACCACACACTTCGTCAAAAGCTCTCTTAATGTGATTCTCTTGTGAGAGCAAAATGACGAAGTTAGCCTAAGTCCTTCCATCTGGACAGTTTTTACGTTCTTTATCAACAGTGAGGAATTCTGTTGACCACAGGACAGCCCCTTTCTACTTTGTCCTCCACGTTTACCAAAGCTTTATCTGGTAACACATGACAATGAACACGTTGGTTGTAATGTCATCTGGGTACGGAGATATAAGGGAGTCAGAGCGAGGACTATTAATAACTGTCGCACCCTGTGGTAATGGATTAAAATAGAATGATGACCATTTAGTGGAAATAAAATGTATTTAATGTACAAATCACAAGACAGATAATAACAAGCCACAGGAGTGATAGGAAAGAGAGCAGCCAGCAGTTACAAAGCTATGATATTGATGTGAAAAAATTGGAAACTGCTGGGTGATGGTGGTGGCGTACGGCTTTAATCCCAGCACTCAGGAGGCAGAGGCAGGCGGATCTCTGTGAGTTCGAGGCCAGCCTGGACTACAGGGAGGGTTCCAGGACAGGCTCCAATGCTACAGAGAAACCCTGTCTCGAAAAAAATAAAATAAAAAAAATTTAAAAAAGAAACTGGATTGGGGCAAAACACTGGAACTAACTAACACATGGTGAAAGTTAAAAACTCCAATGGTGGAGGAGTCATCTATGTAAAGCAGCAAGGTGAAGAATCTTGCGTGACCTTGCCTCCATAGAAGAATGAGGGTAGGGAGGGGGCAGAAACCCGATCATTGCTGGCATTTCAGAATGGACGACGTGAAATTGTAGTGAAAGACCTAAATAGACGTTGTTATCATAGGATGAAGCAGTAACTAGAGACCGTTCATTCTACAAATGTCTCTGGAAGGAAGTACAGAAATTGAATGACATACTTTGCAAACAGTACCGTCAAGTCTTCAAAGTTTTGTATATAAAATGTATATGTGAGCCGGACAGTGGTAGTGCACGCCGTTAATCCCAGTACTTGGGAGGCAGAGGTGGCGACCGCTTTAAACCCAGTAGTTGGGCGGCAGAGACAGGCTGATCTCCGTTACAGGCCAGCCTGGTCTGCAAGAGCTAGTTCCAGGGCAGGCACCAAAGCAACACAGAGAAACCCTGTCTCGAAAAACAAACAAAACAAAAAACCAAGAAATCAATGCAGAGAAATCTTGTTTTGAAAAGCCAAAGGAAAAAAAGGAGAAAAAAACCCCTCTAAATATGTGAATAGATTTAAGAGTGAATATCAACTATTTGTTTAGTAATAAAATGTGCAACCATGTATCCACCATTCAGATTAATAACTGTCAAGTGTCTTTTATAATGAGTTTTTCTGTAAATGTAAGCAGAACAAGAATTTATTACCAAGGTCTCTGCATTTATTATCATAGCTCAGTTGGTCAAGTTGCCCTGCAAGCTTGAGGACCTTCATTCTCTCCCCAGCACTCACGTAAGAAGCTGGTGTGGTAGAATGCCCTTGTGATTCCAGCACTGAAAAGGCAGATCTCTGGGAAGCTTTGGCAGCCAGCCCAGCCAAACCAGCTAGCCTTAGATCTCACTGACATATCATGTCTCGTTAATTTATTTTCTATTCATGGAATATTTTTATTGCTTTTATCAAGCTATACATTTTTCCCGCTCCTCTTCCTTCCTCCTTTCTACCCTTCCTCCCTCCCCATTACAAAGATGATCCCTCAAACTGATTATTTTGCTATAGTTAAGGAGAGTACAGAGGCCTCAAGTTCTTTACACCCTTGTTTTAAAAATTATTCTCTATTATTGTTACTACTATTGTGCCTCTAATCAAGCTTGCACCAGTAGTGCTTTCTTTTACCTACTGAACGGTTCTTCATAACTTTTCTTGATCTTTCTTGGGCTACACTGGATTCCCAAAGAACATTTAAGTATGACACACCCTTTACAGTGTTAAATCACCTCCAACACCATCCACAGACCCTTAGAGCAATTAGAGCAATGTTACTCAAACTTCAATACACATCAGAAATGCCAAGGATTAAATACAAACACACACACACACACATATACACACACACTGGCCAGTTAAGTATGTAACTATCTTCAATGATGAATAGACTAAATAACTATATTGTCAGTGTGTCCTTTTGGAAATTGATTGATAATATGATCAATAAATTTGGTATGAAAATTCAAAAGTAAGCTCTGTAATATAGTAGAAATGTATGGTTTTGCAAATCTATGTAATTTGGCTTGTTCTGAAATCATCTTCAACTTCTGCAAATAACTGAAATTCCATTCATTCCTGGTAAAACCCCATCTGGTAAAAAGGGTCGCCGGGATCAAGGTTGTGGATTATAGTAAGATAATAAGTATTACAAAGATGCATATTGCAGATTAGCTTCGAAGGGTGAACTATGGGTGGGAAAGGAATGACAGAAACATCACAGAGCAGCTGCTGTTCGGTAAGCCACAGTGGGACAGACCTCAGACCAAGAAAAGAGGAAATGCTTTAAAAATATACAATGTCCTTTAGTGGAGCAACTCATGCCACATATTAGGAGGCACTGTGATCTTACCCCTGGGAATCTGTCATAAGGAAACCATTCCAAAGAAAAGATAACAGCTGTGCAGATATGGTTGTGGCTAAATGATTTAGAATAAAAAATTCTAATTCATCTAAAATAGTCAGCAATATGAGAAGTGCAGGCAAATCTATGTGTATCAAAGACAAGTGACAGAAAAGCAAAAATACAAAGAAATCTAACAAATCTATGCTAAAAGAAAGGATTGTGCCAGGTATGACGACACATGCCTTCAGGAGGCAGAGGTAGGTATATTCAGGGCCACAAAGAGAAACTGTATTGGGGGGAAAAAAGGAATTGAATTCTATAATTACAGTGATGTGTAAATTATGTATTTATAAAGATCAGAAAGAGAGAAAGGGTGAACACTTTTTAATTTTTGTTGATATTATTTTTGTTTGTTTGTTTTTTCGAGACAGGCTCTCATGCAGCCCTAGCTGGCTTCAAACTCAAGATATAGCTTGAATTCCTGATCCTCTTGTCTTCATCTCTTAAGTGTTGAGATTATAGGTTCGAGGTATGTACCACCTGGCCCAGCTTATACTTCTTTCACAACATTTAAAAATATATTTTATTTTTGGGTGGTGGTGGTGCACACCTTTATCTCAGCACATGGGAGGCAGAGGCAGGCGGATCTCTGTGACTTCGAGACCAGCCTGGTCTACAGAACCAGTTCCAGGACAGGCTCCAAAGCTACAGAGAAACCTTGTCTTGAAAAATAAAAAAGTATAAAAAAGTTGGGCAGTGGTGGTGCACACTTTTATCCCAACACTCAGGAGGCAGAGGCAGGCAGATCTCTATGAATTCGAGGCCAGCCTGGTCTACGAGACCTAGTTCCAGGACAGCTAGGACTGTTACACAGAGAAACCCTGTCTCGAATATGTGTGTGTGTGTGTGTGTGTGTGTGTGTACGCGCACACGCCAGTGTGTGTATATGTGCATCACATGCTTGCAAGATCCCTCTGTGATCAGAAAAAAACTCCATTCCCTGGGAACTGGAATTACAGATGGTTGTGAGCCTACATGTGAGTGCTGGAAACCAAACCCAGGTCCTCTGCAAGAATAATAAATGCTTTTAACTACTGAACCAACTCTCCAGCCTCTATAAAAAAATTTAAATTGAGAATAGGTGGTGGTGGCACACAACTTTAATCCCAGGATTAGTGAGGGGAAGGCAGGTGGATCTCTGAGCTCAAGGCCAGCCTGGTCTTCAGAGTGAGTTCAAAGACTGCTAAGGGCTACACAAAGAAGCCCTGTCTTGAAAAAACAACAACAACAAAAATATTAAGTTGATTAAATGTTAACTCTTTAAAAAATGATCTGAAGTATAGTTCTAAATGAATATCATAACTATAGATTGTGAAGTAATGCAAATAATTTTTGTATTGAGACAGGACATTAAGCTGCATTTGAAAAAAAGAGGACCTAGAAGGCCACATTTAAAAGGTATAGATAGAGGGCTAGCACAATGGTTTAGCTGTTAAAGGTCCTTTCTTACTGTCAAGCCTAACATCTGAGCTTTATCCTTGAGACACACATGGCAGGAGGAGGGTACCGACTCCTGTAAGTTGTTCTCTGACCTCTACACACAGGCACACATATAAGCAAATGCAAACTTGAAGTTACTCTGTGAATTTGAGGCCAGCCTGGTTCTTCAACGTGAAGCTCCATGGTAGTTTGAATGTATTTGACCCCCATAATCTCACACACACCATTAGGAGGTGTAGCTTTGTTGGAATAGGAATGGCCTTGGAGGAAGTGTGTCACTGTGGGTGTTGGGCTTTGAGGTTTTCTTTGCTCAGGATACTGCCCAGTGTCTGAGCTGACTTCTTATTGCCAGCAAGATGTAGCACTTTCAGCTCTAGCACCACATGTGCCTGCACAAATGCCATACTTCCTGTGATGATGATAATGGACTGAAACTGTATGTGAGCCACCCTGATGAAATACTTTCTTTATAAGAGTTGCCTTGGGCCAAGCAATGGTGAATCCCAGGAGAGGCAGTTGGAGCTCTGTGAGTTTGAAGACAGCCTGGTCTACAAAGTGAGTTCCAGAATAGGCTCCAAAGCTACAGAGAAACCCTGCCTCAAAACAAACAAACAAACAAACAAAACAAAAACAAAGCCTTAGCAATGAAAGCCCTAAGATAAGTTCTGTCTCAAAAGTTTTTTTTTAAGTTACTGACTTCTAAAAATAATCATGGAACTGGGTTTGTAACTCAGGTGTTAGAGTGATTGTTTGGATTGTACAAAACCCTAGGTTTGATCCCCAGCACCACATAAGCCAAGCACAGTGGTACAAACTAGTTAATAATCCAGTATGGTGGAGGTGGGGCAGAGGCAGGAGATCCAAAAATTCAAGCTTGGGACCAGTTTAGGCTACGAGACTTTATCTCAAATAAACAAAACATAAATGAAAGTAGGAACTAGTTGCCACTGTTACAATCCAATGAAAGTTTTTGCATAAATTCAGTGTAAGAAATCTGAAGTTTGTTAAATGTTTCTATTTTCAGCAACAGCTGGTGCGAGACCTTGTTTTTCTGTCAGCTTAGCAGCTGTGCGTGAATCTACTGATATCTTAATTATTATCTGCCACCCCACTCAGTCAGGGCCCTCCAGCTACTCAGGCTGCCGCCTGGTGGGCTTCTGGTCCCGCAGCCCTGGCTCTGCTGCAGCTGGAATTTGTATGTTTAAATGAAGTTTCTGTCATTCTATTTATCAATAAGACTCAGAGATCAAAGGCTGGGATGAAAACCTGCTAGCTCAAAGAGGCTGAGTAGCAACTAGTGGACCTTGCTTTTTGGCCGGAGAGTCCAAAAGAGTCACATCTCTTCCCACATCCCAGAACCAAGAGAGCTCAAACTCTAGTTCCCACCCTTTCCTTCCTGTAAGTCTTCTTTATCTAAATTGCTGGCACCTCCATGGCCCATTCTGGTCAGCTAGTCACTGGCTCTGCCCCCTGATTCAAGGTATAACTTTATTGGGCAGACTCAGGAGTGTCAGTTTGTGATCAAACTATCCTACAACAAGGCCTGGAGCCAATTCCACATTTCTGTTATTTCTTTCAATGACACCTTTTTAAAACCACACTTTAATGCCCAGCAGTGGCGGTACACTCTTTTAATCTCAGCAGAGGTAGGGGCACACAGATCTTTGTGAGTTCGAGGCCAGCCTGATCTACAAAGCACGTTCCAGGACAGACAGAGCTACACAAAGAACCCCTGTCTCGAAAAACAAAAACAAAACAAAACAAAATAAAAAAAACCCACCACACTTTAAAGCCAGGAGAGGTGGCTCATGACTTTAATTCCTGAACTCTGGAAGCAGAAACAGGCCTGGAACTCCAGTAGTCAGATCCATACAGCCAGTTCCAGCCCTTTCTCAAAATAATTACCAATTAAAGTAAAAGAAAAAAAAAATTACATTTTTCAATCTGATAGAATGCTAAACAAAACAACCCACCAAACCTCAAAGCACAACTATAACTATAGTCTCCATACCCAGAAATAATCCGTTAGTATTCAATATTAAGCTGAGGGTGTAGCTCATTGGTACAGTACATACTTAGCAAGCACAAGGCTCTGGGTATCTACTTCTTGTCCCCCTTGGTGGCAGATCATTCTTTGAAGTACTTGGAAATGTGCGAATTGAAAGGGGACCTTGGAAAAGCACGCAAAGTGTTGACTAAAAGGAATTGTGTTGTTAGGGTTGCTGTTGCTGTAATAAACCACCCTGGATTTATTTCATCTTATAACTCTCAAACCTCACTCCATCACTGAGGGAAGTCGGGGCAGGCACCTGGAAGCAGGAACTGAAGCAGAGGCCATAGCACTGCCCACAGTGAGGCAGGGTCCTCTCCAATCAAGAACATGCCCATTCCCAAATAAAACCAAAAAGAACATGCCCCGCAGGCTTGTCCACGGCCAATCTGGTGGAGGTATTTTCTTAACTGGGGTTCCTTCTCTCCAAATGTCTCCAGCTTGTGAAAAGTTGACACAGAACTAGCCAGCACAGTAATCTTGTGGCATTTTAAATGTTTAGGAGAAGACAACCAAAATATCCACCATTAACATATAATTTCATAATATAAATTCCTAAGGGGATCTAATCTACTAGGGGAGCCTCTTACACTGGTCGCTTTGTTTTTTGCTAGTTTTTGTAAACAACTGAGAATGTAGGCACTGGGAAAAAAAGAGAGCAGCATGCAGGATAGTGGCTAAACTGAAAAGGAATGTGGCCACTAAATAGTACTCCGAACCTAAAACACAAAGTAAATCTATAGGAAACAGCTCTCCTTGGGATGAAAGCAAAAATGGACTAGATTAATATTCAAAAGTTTAATCTATATATATCACTATATATATCACATAGTATGGCATAGTGACATAGGCCTTTAATCCCAGGAGGATCTCTGTGAGTTCAAGGATAGCCTGATCTACCTATGAGCACCTGGACAGCCAAGAGTACAGAGACAGCCTGT